GTTAGTTTTTATTACTTTATAATTTTAATAAATGAATATTTTTGGAATAAAAAAAGGCATCACTTTTCAATGTTAATATACACAGCTGAAATGTGTGTGTGTTTTATTAAGAATTTAAAAAGCAATCAATTGTATTTATTAATTTGACTTTTAAGAAGGGAAAATGCATCATCAGTAGTAGCACGCACGGTTATTAAATTTAAAGTAACCAAAGAGTTTATGCGAAATAAGCTATTCCCCCAATGACGTCTTTGCGTGATTATTTAGAACAAATTAATTTAAAATTTTATCTCGCAATATTAACAACGCACTGATGTTTGAGTTTTCTCGATAAATGTAATTACGGTGTAAGTCTTTGATCATCATTTTTTAATAATTTTTCATTCTTTTTTATAACTTTTAAACACAAATAAAATGCTTAAAATAGTTCCTTAGTTGATACTGTAAATGTATTGGTAATTTATAATAATAATAATACTTACACGTTTACTAAAATAATAGCGGATTTAAAATATTTTTGCGCATTTAATTTTTTTCGATTTCCGTAAAATAATAGAAAATAACTATGATTGTTTGTAGGAATCCGAACGTACTTAAAAAATATTCCTCCCTTTTGGCATTATGTCACTCTAGCTCATCTTATATATATACATATATTGTTTTAAAAATTCATTGCCTCATTTATTATAAAATATCTTTGTAAACATGTATCTACACATTCATCATGATCATCATGTCCTTTAGTCCTTGGACCGTAGCTTTTTCATTTTAAAGTTGATTATTTTTAAATGTTTTCATTTTTAACATCATTGGGGTTTGAGAAATTTGTGTAAACTATACATGTATCAAAACTCATTCCAAGCTCCTAAACTGTACATTATTTTTTCTTATCTCCATTAATAAGATTTATTTTATATATGTAAACAAAACTATCAATAATTTAGTTAAATATCCGAAATATTAACCAGATTAGAGATATTAGTATAGTTCTATTCTTAGTCTATTCATTAAATACTTAACTTATATTTAAAATCTGGCTGTCCTCTCTCTCTCTGACACACCCGCCCCTACCCTAAAACCTCCGGCTGGCCCCTCCCTCTGACACTTTCGGCTGTTCCCTCCCTCGGACACATCCGGCTTTTCAATCCCTCTGACACATCCGGCTGTTCAATCCCTCTGACACATTCAGCTGTTCAATCCCTCTGACACATCCGGCTGTTAATCCCTCTGACACATCCGGCTGTTCAATCCCTCTGACACATCCGGCTGTTCCCTCCCTCAGACACATCCGGCTTTTCAATCCCTCTGACACATCCGGCTGTTCAATCCCTCTGACACATCCGGCTGTTCAATCCCTGTTACGCACTGATTTGTATTGGGAGAAATTAATCTCCTATTTTAATTTTAATTGGCTCGTTGTAAGCAGTGCCTAACAAAGGACGATACCATAGAATCAACAATATTAAAGATACGACCCAAAACAGTTTCTAGTTACAATTTGTATTGGGAGAAATTAATCTCCTATTTTAATTTTAATTGGCTCGTTGTAAGCAGTGCCTAACAAAGGACGATACCATAGAATCAACAATATTAAAGATACGACCCAAAACAGTTTCTAGTTACAATTTAATTAAGATTTATTATGTCTTAAGATAATTACAAAAGAAAAGAAAAATATAATTACAATCTTCAACTTACAGTATGGTAGATCTTGTACCGGTACACAGTTAACACAGTTAGAATAATGTGCCAATAAATAATGCGAAATAAACACATATAAGCTCACAAATACACAAAGAATAAAACACGCCTCGTAATGTTAAGAAAATGTATCTGAAATCTCCCTCCTTCCGAGCCTGTCAATCCCTTATATAGGTGGGTCTACCGACGCCCAAGCCCTGCCTTCAAGCTGCTACAAGGCATTTCTAGAACGATCAGATTCATTCTACAAAACACTACTTGGAACAGATTAATTATTTTTAGTAATTGGCGGTGTAAACAAGAATACATCAAAAGGCCTAAGCCACACCCCTTTGTGAACACAGCGTCTCATGCGGGGTCAATCAGAGGGCACGCACGAGAAATATTATGTAAACAAGCTCTCTATAACAATCCCTCTGACACATCCGGCTGTTAATCCCTCTGACACATCCGGCTGTTCATCCCTCTGACACATCCGGCTGTTCCCTCCCTCGGACACATCCAGCTTTTCAATCCCTCGGACACATCCGGCTTTTCAATCCCTCTATCCGGCTTTTCAATCCCTCTATCCGGCTTTTCAATCTCTCTGACACATCCGGCTGTTCAATCCCTCTGACACATCCGGCTGTTCAATCCCTCTGACACATCCAGCTGTTAATCCCTCCGACACATTCAACTCTTCCTTCCACCTGACACATTCGATTGTCCTCTCCCTCTGATGGACCTAAATTAATTATTTATTAGGTCGGCATCAATCAAGGACTTCTTCTAGTGCGCCTGTTTGGCGTTCTCCAATATCTTGATGTTAGTGACGGGTGGCACGCTCTGTTTCGCCCGAGTGCAGTCCAGAAAACTCTTTCAGTCCACCCGACTGGACATCGGCAAACTATGGGCCAAAGAATGACAGGATCACAGAGGGCTGTTAATTTTGATCGGAGCAACGAATTAGTCACCGTAAGTTGAACAGAAACTAAAATATGTTCACTGTCAACTTGCCATAGTTGGTGGTTTTTCTCTGTCAACTTGCCATAGTTGGTGCTATTTCTCTGTCAATTTGCCATAGTTGGTGCTTTTTCTCTGTCAATTATGGCAAGTTTATGGCACTTTTTCTCTGTTAACTTGCCATAGTTGGTGCTTTTTCTCTGTCAACTTGCCATGCTTGATGCTTTTTCTCTGTCAACTTGCCATAATTGGTGCTTTTTCTCTGTTAGCTTGCCATAATTGGTGCTTTTTCTCTGTCAATTTGCCATAGTTGGTGCTTTTTCTCTGTCAACTTGCCATAGTTGGTGGTTTTCCTGTTAACTTGCCATAGTTGGTTGTTTTCCTGGTAACTTGCCATAGTTGGTGCTATTTCTCTGTCAACTTGTCATAATTAGTGCTTTTTGTATGTCAACTTGTCATAGTTAATGCTAATTCTCTGTCAACTTGCCATAGTTGGTGCTAATTCTCTGTCAACTTGCCATATTTAGTGCTATTTCTCTGTCAACTTGCCATATTTAGTGCTATTTCTCTGTCAACTTGCCATAGTTGGTGCAATTTCTCTGTCAACTTGCCATATTTAGTGCTATTTCTCGGTCAACTTGCCATAGTTGGTGCTATTTCTCTCTGTCAGCCTGCCATAGTTGGTATTATTTCTCTGTCAAAATTCCAGAGTTCTTTTTCTTATGCCTTTTTACCCCGTCTGGGGCATAGGCCGTCCACAAGAATTTTCCACTCATCACGGTCCTGTGTTTCCTTTCCCGTTCCTGGTGTATCCCATAATTTGCGTGTCTGTCTCCTACTCGCGTCTCCATGTATTCTTAGGCCTTCGTCTCTGTCTTTTTTCCCTGTGGATTTCATGTTAGGCATTGTCTGGTGGTATTTTCTGGGGGTTTTCGGAGATCGTGCCCTATCCTCCTTCATCTTTCTTGATGTCTTCACCAATGGGCCCACCTGGTATGTCCTTTCTTTTTTGGTATTCGGCCATTTGATGTTCTGGATCTTTCTAAGGCATGTGTTTATGAAGATCTGTACTTTCTGCGTAATGTTCGCCGTTGTTTTCCAAGTTTCTGCTCTATATAGTAGGGCTGTTTTGAATTTCTTTTTAATGATTCTGATTTTGGTTTGCAGCTTCAGCTCCTTCGATTCCATACTTACGTTAATAGCACAAATGCTGATAAAGCTTTTCCAATTCTAGGCCTAATATTCGCCAATTATGTTGATGGCGCTACCTATGTATGTGAAGGACTCCAGTTCTTCCAGTTGCCTTAGTTGGTGCTATTTCTCAGTCAACTTGCCATAGTTGGTTCTATTTCTCTGTCAAACTGCCAGAGTTAGTGGATAATAATACCGGATCCCTGTTGCTCGGTTCAATCTCTAGACAGGTAACTGAGTAGATCTCCACTTGGCTCACACTCTTAGACAGGTAACTGAGTAGAACTCCACTTGGCTCACACTCTAGACAGGTAACTGAGTAGAGCTCCATTTGGCTCACACTCTAGACAGGTAATTGAGTAGAATCCCACTTGGCTCACACCCTAAGACAGGTAACTGAGTAGAGCTCCATTATGCCCATTTACTTGATTTACCCCAAGGAAAAGAAGGGTGTATTTGTAAAACATTTGTATTTGCAGTACGTGAACATCTATGTGCCATTAGTCAAACCCTCATTTATCAAGCTGAATATCCATGTGCTATAAGTCAGATCTCCATTTATCAACCTGAATATCTATGTGCCATTAGTCAAACCCTCATTTATCAAGCTGAATATCCATGTGCTATAAGTCAGATCTCCATTTATCAACCTGAATATCTATGTGCCATAATTTGGATCTTCATTTATCAAGCTGAATATCTATGTCCACCCACACATGGCTAACCTATGTCCACCCACACATGGCTAACCTATGTCCACCAACAAATGGTTGACCTATGGTCCATTGTTTTGAGCTCAAAACTAAGTCCAACAACTTTGTAACATTTCTGTCTAGTTCCTAAACAAATCTGCTCAGCTGACAACTGACAGCCAATGTGAGGGTCATTATAACATTAAATAACATGATAGGCCTCACCTACATGCTGACCATATGAAGGCATTGGAAGTTAAAAGTCTGCAGCCCTGGCAATATTCAGTGAGTACCTCATCATTGTCTCTTTCATACCATCAACACAAACAAAATATTATTTGCAATACATTTAATTTATTGAGTGGAGAAAAAACCAGGAACAAAAACTTCCACATTTTTATTTACATTTTTAAATTAAAAATTAATGACATAAATAATCCACCCCCACCACCCCCCCCCCCAACCCATTTCCCTTTTACATATAAATAATTCTCGGGTTTGATTTGTAGCTTGTCAAGTTTGACTTTTGACAGCAATCAGAGCGTAACACCTTGGTGATGTCACTGGATCAAACAGTTGAACCAGATCCGCAGAGTGGACTTCATCCTGGAAATAGAAGAATTTTTAATCAAATGTTTTTTTCTTTTTGGGAACAAATTTGTACCAACATAGAAGAAAATTCATCAAATGAATTAGTTGAAAAGTTAACATTGTCAAACATCAACCAACACCACAGACAACCCATGTCGCACTGACCTGCCAACATCAACTAACACCACAGAGAACCCATGTGGGACTGACCTGCTCCAGTAAAAACAACAATCTATCCAGCAGTATAAGGGCCTCTATCAAAGGTGCCAAGACCAACTTAAGCTGAAAAAATGCCACCATCTGTGACTTGGTGTGCTTGTAGAGTTCCTCTGTTTCACTCAGTAGCTCTCCACTGATCTGAGATCAAGAGAAACAGTTATGACTTAAATCATGGAAATAAAGCATTTAATAAATAGTATTGTTGGAAAAACTTGGTGGAAAATTTCTTCTCAAATACTATTAATAACTGGCAACAAATTTACTCAAATAAAGAGAATTACTTTAGAAAGTTATATAGAGGTAAACAGACTCAATTTTGTAGAATACCTTTATAGATTAACTGCGACCGGTATAAGTTTTGTATATATATGTGTAACATGATGCTTAAATTCTTGTATTTATAATGTTGTCAAGTAATCTGCTTAAATTCTTGTATATAAAAATGTATTTAACTCACAACTCAGTATATGTTTTGAGTTATGTCTCTTATATACAATGTTTAACATCAACCCCTGGCTGACACAGTACCTGCATTGAAAATCACAGCAGTAGACTATGTCAATCACAGAACTGACTAAGTCTTACCCCAAGGCAACACAGTACCTGCATTGAGAATCACTGCCCTAGACTATGTCTTACCCCAGGCTGACACAGAACCTGGGATGAAAATCACTGCCCTAGACTATGTCTTACCCCAGGCTGACACAGAACCTGGGATAAAAATCACTGCCCTAGACTATGTCTTACCTCAGGCTGACACAGAACCTGGGATGAAAATCACTGCCCTAGACTATTTCTTACCCCAGGCTGACACAGAACCTGGGATGAAAATCACTGCCCTAGACTATGTCTTGGATGAAAATGTTCATTTCTATGAGTAGAACGTTTTTCATGTGTGGAAACTGAGCACCTGTTTTTAGCGCACACACAAACACACTTACTGAGTTCAGTTAGTAGCAACTGTTGGTTGATAATAAACTAAATATTGATAGAAAAGGGAGATAAGGCAAGCAGCAATGTGCATCAGTGCTACAAGTCAACGTACCAAATCTGGGGACAAGCCAAGTTTTTTAAAAGCTGCCTTAACGTATTCCTGGAATGTTTGACACTTTTTATGCAGTCCCCGCATTCCTTTGATCTTTTCAGGAACAGACAATCCAAGCTGTTTTATAACAACATCAAGCAATGCTCGCCAGTAAAAATCACCACCTTGAAGCTGAATAAAAGAATAAAATCAATTTTTTTTTCAATGTAGCCTAAATTCAATAAATTAAAAATGTTTTTAAAAAAGAAAATATCCAAGTAAATATCCATCCCATAAACCAAGAAAATAAGACTCAAATCAGATTCATGTTACATTAACACTTTGAAGGGGGACTCACATCAGATTCATGTTACAGTAACACTTTGAAGGGGGACTCACATCAGATTCATGTTACATTAACACTTTGAAGGGGTCAATATCTGGCAATACATTTTATTTATATATTTTTTGTGTGGAAAATGCTTTTATAATCTATGTCCTGCTACTTTAACCTTTCTTAAGTTATGAAATAGATGTAGCCTATATCTAATTAATAGATAATTCCAATAATCATGTTTAATGAGGAATGTCCAGAGTTAAGATCTGTACATTTAAAGTTTCTCCGCACAGTGGTTGCCTCAATAATTATATCAATACTACATACTAGCCCACTCAATAATTACATCAAATACTACAAACCTGCCCACTCAATCATTATATCATTACCAACCTGCCTACTCAATAATTATATCAATCACTACCAACCTGCCTACTCAATAATTTTATAAAACATTACCAACCTGCCTACTGAATAATTATATCAAATACTACCAACCTGCCTACTGAATAATTATATCAAATACTACCAACCTGCCTACTGAATAATTATATCAAATACTACCAACCTGCCTACTGAATAATTATATCAAATACTACCAACCTGCCTACTCAATAATTTTATCAAACATTACCAACCTGCCTACTGAATAATTATATCAAATACTACCAACCTGCCCTGACGCCTGAATTCGATGAACTGATTGTGAGGCCAAGTTTCTAGCATTCCTACCAAGGTGAAGGTCAAGCTGTTGACCATAATGACTTACTGGAAAGTGACAATGTACAACATCCTCTGATATCTGTGTGCTGGAGTCTGTGGAAAATGACAGTCTTGACAGACGATGACCTATGAAAGTTGACGGTGGTCCCAATTCAACAAGATGAAGCTTAACAAAAATTGATGACGGATATTATTATTGTCTACTGATTAAATTAAAGCGATATGGATAAAGGTACTTGATGCACTAGATATGGATAAAGGTACTTGATGCACTAGTCTTAACAAACAAATTGACCATAATTAAATGTAAAATAATTAAATCACACATAAAATACTATGTCTAGATTTCATAAGATTTCTATTACGCAATTTTAGTTTTTTATGGAAAAAAAATTTTTGATGGCATACTTCATAGTTATTGGACTTAAATAGACATAATATGCAAGAAAAATAATTTTTTAAAATAAAATAATGATTTTATTGGTATGTTGCCATATGGCAACAGTGCGTCTTAAAGGTCAGAAAAGTAAAACTGTTTCATAGTTATTGGACTTAAATAGACATAATATGCAAGAAAAATAATTTTTTAAAATAAAATAATGATTTTATTGGTATGTTGCCATATGGCAACAGTGCGTCTTAAAGGTCAGAAAAGTAAAACTGAACAAGAAAAGGAAACGATAACAATAATATTTTTAAAAGGTGAATATTTAATCGTTTACACAAACAATGGTCATCAGTACTAAGCTTACAAGCATATCTTCATATTATGCTTTTATATCATGAAAAAGATCATTATAAAAATCATATTTTATAAGCATTTTTTACACAAAAATATAGAAAATCATGTCATCCGTATATAGAGCACATAGAGGGACAGTAAATACTTATATACATATGTGAAATGCAGGTTTAATGCTGGTGGAACTGTTTGAAGCAATGTGAACTTTACATTATGCACATTTTATTCTTGAAAATTCTTCGCAACCTGGTCTCTTGCATCTTCCTTTGTTTTCAAGTGGCTCAGGAAAGTGCCAAATATAATCAGCTTTTACTGGTAAGGGTGGAACAGCTGCAGTAGGACCACTCAAATTTTTAGCTGCAAGTTGAGGCGCTATATCCAATGAAGGACTACCAAGTTTCCTAAACCCTGCTTTACCTTCTTTCATTAGGCATACGGCCATCTTGGTGTTGAAATCAAGTACACCGAGGATATATTTTGTCGCAATTCACATTAGTACAATCAGCCTATAGATCAGCCATGCCAGCACAACTGCCATACTGGTATCCAGAAAGTGGAATATTATACAGTGATACTATTTTTTGGACCTTACTGGTATCCTGTATACGGCCAACAGTGAAGCGAGAAGATCCACACCACCCATGAATTTATTGTAAACCATGATTACCGATGGACAAGTTACCTAGATTTCCCTTTTAGCCTTTTGTCCCATCTTTTGACCCGTTTCATGGGCTCAATAGCAGCAAATGTACTGAGTGTGGTTACCGCTCTATTGTCAACCCATTTGACTGGAAACAGATCAACACCGTCATGGTGGCAGGTTTTCAGAATTGCGGAGCCCCTTCCATTTCTTGCCAAGTCCTTATCTGAAGGCATTATGCAATTTTTAAGCCTATTAGACCTTACAGTGCCAATAGCTGGATGTCAGCTTCATCTCTGTGGTGTCAAAGCAAATTTCTTGCAAATAGTTTTGCCCGTGGTTGGATTGCAGTGTCTAAAGAATTACCAGGTGTGGCGTTAGTTTCACGGTCTGAGTCTGATATGGTTGAAGCTGAAAAGGGAAATTTTAAATATTATTTTTCAGTGTTTACTTTAACTTTTGGCTTGAATATTATATAATTGTTCTTTTAAAAAATATTAGAGATTAAATGCAATTTAAAAAAGTATATGAAAACATACTTGTTGTGTTCTGGAGTCAAAGATTCATCTATATCATCATCGCGTGAAGACAGCTCGGAGTCCTCAGGAATAGCAGGAATATCCACATTTTTATTTTTTCCATAAAAGCATGATGGTTCCATGACTGCTTTGATGTTTGGATATTTTAATTCTAGAAGAAAACAACATTATAGGAAACTAATAATTCAACACAAAAAATAACTTACAATATAGGCTTATATCTTGTATAGTATCTATTCATTTTTTTTAATAAAAAGAATTGTAACATTAATTTAAAACGTGTTAACTTGATCAAAATATAAAAGGATAACATTAATATTAGATATGTATAGATATTTCATAAATAAAATATTATTCAGATAGCTTATAAACTGGTTATATATTGTATGTTGCCATTTGGCAACAAAAAAATAAACACAAAAAATTAACCACATCGACGCACTGTTGCCAATTGGCAACATACCATTTTTTTCGTATGTCATCCACCTATGATGACAAATATCAAACATAAGCTCATTTAATATCAGTTCAAACATTAAATTTAACATTCTTTATTTTTTATAACAGGAATTATCATTATGTGATATAAAAAAACAGCTTGTACTTACTGGATTCGGCGGAAAAAATTGTAGTCAACTGTGACCGTCTAAAATGTGTTCTTACATAAAAACTGCAAAGCGAAAGTGAAGACATCTTCAGGATAAAAGTTTGAAACCTCGTAATTGAAAAGGGGAACCACTCCAACAAATTAAAAATTGGGCTTGCAGTACTAGCAGTAGTGTAATTTCGCTTTGTTGCCAAATGGCAACATTGCGTAATAGATTCAGGATAAAAGTTTGAAACCTCGTAATTGAAAAGGGGAACCACTCCAACAAATTAAAAATTGGGCTTGCAGTACTAGCAGTAGTGTAATTTCGCTTTGTTGCCAAATGGCAACATTGCGTAATAGAGGGTTAAGACATTCTAACTTGAAATTGTCAAGAAATGAAGTTTGAGAAATGGGAAATTGAAAAATCAAAACTGCCAGCTTGGAAACAGACTGCACAGACAGAATAAATAGTTGGAAAGAAAGACTGTACAGACAGAAGAAATAGTTGGATATATACTGTACAGGCAGAAGAAATAGAAACACAGACTGTGCAGACAGAAGAAATAGCAACATAGACTGTATAGACAGAAGATACCATTGAAAAAAGACTATAGACAGAATAAATAGTTGGAAACATAGACTTACTCTTGTCTGGTTCTTCCATCAGTTGATAACAACAACCAACACAACACAGACCAGCAGCACCAGGATCTTGTACAAACAATCTCATCATTGTAACAGCCAGACTACCACAAGTATGCAGACCTGTAAAATATGTTACATTGTAACAGCCAGACTGCCAAATGTATGCAGACATAAATATCTGCTACATTGGAGCAGGCAGACTGCCACACATATGAAATATATTATCCTTTCAACGACTAGCGTCAATTAAAAGGCTGACCTAATCTGGGTTCTGCAAACCAATACATTTACTTCCAATCACTTCCTTCAAAGCAGGTCTCGCTTAATCTTCACCTGTAAGTAGAATTTTAGCTTCATTTCATCCAGACAGCGTGTTCTATTCTTACCTGTAAGTAGAAGTTTTGCCTGAGTTCCTGCAAACAAATGGGGAGCATGCTGTTGGATGACTTGTCGAAGGTTCATCTCTGGATGAACAAACTTTGTGATGGGAACATAAAGATTGTGACTAGCCTGTGGCTTAATGTCTGGTTTGTGACTAGCCTGTGCCTCTTTGTCTGTATTGTGACTAGCCTGTTTCTCTCTGTCTGGATTGTGACTAGCCTGTGCCTCATTGTCTGGATTGTGACTAGCCTGTTTCTCTCTGTCTGGTTTATAAATTTCTGATGCTTCGTCCAAATCAGTTGGAACCTTAGAACCAAACAATCAATTATTCATAATAAACTTGATGAAGTTACATGAAGTTAGGACACAAAATAAATCATTATTTAAACTGCCCAAGGGATTGTTTCGATTTTAAAAAAAAGAGGGGGTAACTGATACTAGAACAATTCTATAATTCGTCTATTTCCTCTTGCACAGACTAGGTGCATGAACTACAAAAATTGAATAACTTTCAACATTTACTTGACCGCAAATAATTTGACCAACTTTTGTGGACATGGCCCTGAGTCAACTTCTCAACTTTTGCTCAAATATTTTTCAAGCAATAAGGAATGAAATCATGTTGATTTTATCATGTTGATTTCATCATGTTGATTTCATCATGTTGATTTCATCATGTTGATTTCATCATGTTGATTTCATCATGTTGATTTCATCATGTTGATTTCATCATGTTGATTTCATCATGTTGATTTCATAACTGTGTGATATATAGACACCTCGCATCTAATCATTCATTCTTTAATACCTAGCATCTTATAATTCAATTTTAATACCTAGCATCTTATCAATCAATATTAATACCTAGCATCTTATCATTCAATATTAATACCTAGCATCTTATCATTCAATATTAATACCTAGCATCTTATAATTCACATTAACTAAATAATGGAACAAAATATGTTTAGACTAGAAAAAAAAAGGTTAGGGCATTTAATCAAACAACCCCTAGAAAAATAAGTCAGGACATTTAATCAAACAACCCCAAGAAAAATAAGTCAGGACATTTAATCAAACAACCCCTAGAAAAATAAGGTCAGGACATTTAATCAAACAACCCCTAGAAAAATAAGTCAGGACATTTAATCAAACAACCACTAGAAAAAAAAAGGTCAGGACATTTAATCAAACAAACCCTAGAAAAAAAAAGGGCAGGACATTTAATCAAGAAGAAATAAATGAAGGGACTGCTTTCAAGCTATGTAAATGAATGAAATAGTGAAACGAGGTATGTGGAAGCTTCAAATAAGGTAACAGGACAAAAAAGGACGTTTCGGCATAAAGCCTTCCTCAGCCAACAATAGAAATGAAAATACAACAAAGAAAAGAACACAGTAGAAAACTCAAGCAGTATTCATTCGTCTCTCCGGAAGTGGGAAAACAGGAAGCGAGAGAATATAAATATTGACACTGTGAAAAATAAAGTCCACAATAATAATGGACCAGAATATCCAGGGATACATCAACAAACAGCAATAAGAAAATAGATGAAATATAGGGAAACGGAGAAACATCAGTAGGATATTATTTGATTAATACCATATGGAGATATGGTGCCAAACAGCTGAATAAATTTATTTTCCATTTTAACCCTATCTGGTGTGTTACTGCATGAAATCAATGCCGTAATGGTTACATCCAAAGCACCTTTATGTTCTTTTTGGTTGAAATGAGAAGAGACCGGGGAAGGTTTACATTGCTCAATATCCCTTAGATGTTCAGTAAACCTATCAGCCAATCTTCTCCCAGTTTCCCCTATGTAACTTGATTGGCATCTACGGCAAACAATCGCATATATTACATTTCTGCTGACACAGGTGAAACCCTCTTAAATGGTAAAGGTACCTTTAGGGAGGCCAATGCTTTCAGTTTGGAGTGTAAAGGGACAAGTTCTGCAGCGGCCTCTTAAGCATGGTTTAGTACCAACGTAGGACGGTTCAGATCGAAGGCGACTATGAACCAGAAGATCACCTAGATTTCTGTCCCGTCTAAAGACAATCAGTGGAGGGGATGAGAAAACCCTGTTGGTATTTATTTATTTATTTATTTAGGCATTTTTATATAGCGCTTATCATAAAGCTCTAAGCGCTTTACAATTATTAAAACATGTAAACTAAGTAAATACAAATGAGATACTAGGATAGTAACTACTATTTTATAGAAACAATGAAAATGACTATAAAACGAGGACACTTTGACACTTCAGGATCAACCCGAAACAGAAAATGAGGTAGGGCAAGGAGGGTGCATCACAGGTCATAGGCGGACCTAAACAGATGAGTTTTAAGGGACTTTTTGAAAATGGACGAGGTTTCACTATGACGTATATGGAAGGGGAGCTGGTTCCAGAACGTGGGCCCATGGAAGCAGAAGGAGCGTTCACCGATGGTCTTAGTTTTAGTTCTTGGTATCAGGGTCAGCAAGAAGTATGCTACGATTTTTTAGGAATATTTTTTTGGCAGTTAAATTGTGAGGGTGGTAGGTTAGTATAAGTTTGGTACGATCCTCATTGTTGTTAGGGCGAGTTTTGAAAGCCTCTTTTCGTGTGATCGTGCTGATGCGATCTAGTGCTGAGACCAGAGTAGTTTCAGGATAGGATCTGGAGCGGAAGAAATCCATCATTTCATCGGCTCTTTCTAGAAATTCCTCATCAATTTGGCAGAGACGCCGTAGTCTAAGAAGTTGTGAGAAAGGTATAGAATCTTTGCATGATTTAGGGTGGGAGGATGAGTACAAAAAGGGCAGGACATTTAATCAAACAACCCCTAGAAAAAAAGGTCAGGACATTTAATCAAACAACCCCTAGAAAAGAAGTTGTTCCTATAAATCCTTTATCTACATTTTTGTTTGCATTGATGTCATTGTAAGGGATTTATCATTTATTAAGAAGCGGTTATGTAAAAAACATGTTTCCTATTTCCTCCATTTTCCCTTTCAGAAATACATTTTATTTTTACTGCATTCCAAATAAGTCACAAATAAAATGTACATAGCGATAGCTACACAATTAATCTCTACACCAAAACTCGCACCCATTGAAAAAATCATATTTCATTCATCTTCCCCTTGAAAAATAGATTTTCGGGGGTTGGGGGTGGAGCTGAAATTTTGAAAGAATGTGCTGTCATCAACATCAATCCTGTGGGCCAAGTTTCAGGTCAATAGGATGATGGGAAGTGGGTCAATTAGCCATCTGAAGATTTTAAACATAGAAACACACTAACAAAAGCGAGGTTAATAAAAAAGGAATTAAAAAGATGTTTAGGCTGATTGTATTCTTAAGCAGAAATAAAAAAACAAGAAACAACAAATAATTAAAAAATGAACATTACAACAAATTTTTTGGAAGATATTAACGTAGTTCTCAGAATCTATTTAGAAATGTCCTTTTAACTGTCCAGTCTTTTTTTAAAAAGCTAAACATATCTTGTTCCACTATTTAATTTACACTGCTTGAACGCACTCCCTCACATATTATGATTCACAATCCACCCCTAACATATTATAATTCACATTCCCTTTACAACATGTTATAACTCACATTCCATCCCAACCATTTATAATGACATTCCCTTTACAACATGCTATAACTCACGTTCCTTCCCAACCATAATAATATTATAATTCACATTCCCTTTACAACATGCTATAACTCACGTTCCTTCCCAACCATAATAATATTATAATTCACATTCCCTTTACAACATGCTATAACTGACGTTCCTTCCCAACCATAATAATATTATAATTCACATTCCCTTTACAACATGCTATAACTCAAAATTCCATCCCAACCATAATAATATTATAATTCACATTCCCTTTACAACATGTTATAACTCACGTTGCATCCCAACCATATTATAATTCACATTCCCTTTACAACATGTTATAACTCAAAATTCCATCCCAACCATATCATAATCTACGCCTGAAACATTGTTTACTTCTACATCTAAACCTTTCAATCTCACCTACATTAGTGCCCTCTGCTTTTGTTATGGTATGGTGCTGATTATCTCCCTTATTTGACTGTTTCTGCTCAACAGCACAGCAGCTCTGCTAATTGAAAAAAATAATTAGCTTCCTACAGTAAATGTCTAGGGCTTAAGGAAAAATATCAGAATATTGTAAATAGTAGATCAGAACTTTGGAAATAGTAGATCAGAACATTGGACACGGTAGATCAGACCATTGGACAAAGTAGAAGAGAACATGGGACATAGAAGAACAGAACTTTGGACATAGTAGAACAAAACTTTAGACATAGTAGATCAGAACTTTGGACACAGTAGATCAGAACATTGGACAAAGTATATGAGAAGATGGGACATAGAAGACCAGAACTTTGGACATAGTAGAGTGAGATTTATGAAAGCAAATTTTCTCCAAATCATACTGCAACATCAATGGGGATTTTAAAAACTGCTAAATTTTGCCTCAAAATTATTAGTTTCACGAAGGAAAAAATTATAATTTATTACTAATACACTACAATTTATGTGTTTTGAATATTGTCATTGCCATTATATATTTGAGATTATAGGTGTGTGAATGTTGTCTAATTCAATATATAGTTTTATAAAAAACCAATATAAGACCTAGAATTCAGGAAACAAAGCACCATATTAAACAGAATAACTTAGTAAATAGAATAACTAAGTAAACAGAATAACTCAGTTAACAGAATAACTTAGTAAGCCTTACTTTATTATAACTGCCAGGTTTGCCTTTCCTCTTGACTAAGCCGTTCCATCTCTTCCCTAGCTGAGCGTCCCGCCTGATGGCTCCATGAGTGTTGGTCTCACTTGAGTCCATCCCAAGCACTGAAATAACATGTGACCTTGACACCTCCGCCCCAAGGTAGCCTTTACCACTGCCTATGTCAACAATCTGAAATCGGCCATGGAAAAAAAGCACCCAAAACTTAAATCAAAATAACACTTTTAGTTTATCAAAGAGTTATAACAAATTTTTTACGATAAATTAGTACATAGCAATTATTAGTATCTGTCTTGCAATACCATTAAGATTAATATTTACAATTATTTAAAAAAATAACGGGTATTGAAACTTCACAAAATATTTAAAGAATTGTTTTATCCCAGATAAGGTTTTTTGTATAATTTAAATAAATTGCTTTTTTCACTTAAATTAAGTTAACAGCAAGAATTTAAAATGTCAATCATATTCCTAAAGAAATATAAATATGGACATAAACCAAGCAAATAAACCATGGAAATAAACTAAGCAAATAAACTGTGCAAATAAATCAAGCAAATAAACCATGGAAATAAACTAAGCAAATAAACTGTGCAAATAAATCAAGCAAATAAACCATGGAAATAAACCATGGAAATAAACCTTGAAAAAAAAACATGCAAACATCATGGGGTTTCAAACATTTATTTTTATTTAACATTATGCTGTTAATTTGGCTTGGCATGTTTTGAATGTATTATTATGATATTAACTTACAATGTCAGCTTGGCATGCTTTGAATGTATTATTATGATATTAACTTACAATGTCAGCTTGGCATGCATTTAATGTATTATTATGATATTAACTTACAATATCAGCTTGGCATGCACTGAATGTAGCCACCACAGCCTCTGACATGATGCCAACTTCATGAACTTTTTTCTCGGACATAGCCTCAGAAACAACATCATGGCTTTTGAAAGTATTCATGTTTTGGTATCCCACAGCTTCAGAAAGACTTGTCAAAATGTTCAGGTTTTCTAGATGGCACTGATATGCTTGATGTGTAAAAGAGCTTAGCCACTGTAGACAATAAACATGAAATAAGAGTTGGAACATAAGAGATTTACCCAAAAAAATAAATACATGACAAATAAAATCAAGAATCTATGGGATTCGACACCACCACTTTAACTTTCCTCTTGGCAATTTTGCAGACCAATGTTGAATTTATTGCAAGGCCAATTATAATTTTCAAAAGAATTTTGTCTCTGTCATGCGAAAAAATCTTTCTTTTATAAATCCAGTGAAATACTTCTGTATGGCCTTACTCATACAAATCTATAAGGTGGGCATGTATGATGTGTAGTTTTATTTCTATTTCTAATGAAAATATCACTATTTACATCAGTGTCAGAGACAGTGTGTAGAAATGTCACTATAACTCATTACAACTGGAGTCAGGGAGTGAGTGATGTGTACTGAAAGAAAAAATTCATTTTAGATTAACTAGGATTTTAGGATGGCAGATGTCACTGATGTGAATGTCACTAGGTACTTTGACAGAAATTTTCAATAGTGTCCATAAAAGATATATCATTTTAAAGGGCTAGCTATTCATCTTTCTAGTTTTTATAGAAATGAATTTATGATTCATTTTGTGAATTTTTTACACCCCCTTATGTGTATCCTTGCACTTAACTGTGAAAAACTTGTGGCAGACTTTCCAAATTTCTGCTTTATTTTGCCCACAACTTTTTTTATGTTAAAATGTAATGCTACCAAATTTTCAGGAGACATTCTCAATGCAATATACAACTCAATGAAGAACAAAACTTTTACATAACATCAAGACTTTTTATTTTGGATAATTTTATTTGCGAGGTATGTTAAGAGAAAAATTGAACAGAAAAAGTGGAAAAATCATTATTTATAAGGCCGGCACTACGTACACCGCGGCGGTGTACCTAGTGAAACTATTGACTTTGGCCTGCGTACACCGCGGCGGTGTACCTAGCTAAATCATGGTCTGTGGCCTGCGTACACCGCAGCGATTTAAAGTAGCAAAACTATGGTCTTTGCGAGTCTTTAACTTGTAGATTTAATGTTATACTCGTGTTAAAACTGAAAACTATTTATTTAAAATTCGTTTATTACCTTGGGAAGATATTGAGCAAGGTCCACGCCTATGTGGCAAAGTGCATGTAAAGCATTTCTTATTATTTTTGGAAGGGAGGGGGCTGGGGGTGTAATGTTAAACCATGATTTATTTTTAAAGTTAAGCACTTTATTCCCCCCTCCCCCAATATATTGAAATACAAATATATTTATTAATTGTAAGTTTTATCATATGATTGTGAATCTTAATTTGAAATTATTCTCTCATGCCCCCCCCCCCCAAATCCAGTTGTTTGTTTGTTTTTTTTTGGGGGGGGGCATTATAAATATAACATTGTATGTGATCCCTCGGGGCATGGTGTAAAAATGAATGGGAAGACAGTGAATCTATTTTGTTACGCCACAAATACACTACGGGAAGAGAATCACATACTCATACATTGATCATGAAGTCGTGAAGTTAAAGTTGTCTGATGCATTGTCATTGTGATACCAAGCATGTGTCAACACAAAACAGCAGTAAGATGATAAATACGAAACACTGCAGTGATTTTTGAAAGTCTTTTAACAATAACTAAATATCATTGATTTAGTTTTACATTGGCATTACACATTAGTAAAAAATGCTGGCGGAAAGAGGGGGGGGGATGCAAAAGGTAAGTGTTGTGCGGGGACGTCCTTTGTGGACAACCCCTATCCTGAGCCGTGATTTGTGAATGCCCCCTTTTTGGTTAAGCCTCTGCCCATAACTCAACTCCACCCCCACCCCCCCGGCAAGGATCGATTTCTTAACAAAAAAAAACAACAAAAAAAAAAACTTTGACATAGCGCCAATCCTGTCCAAGCCCATTGTGCAATGGTTTCTATGAGAAAACATCATGTTTTACCCTGAGAATAGCACATGCCATGCCATTCTGGAAATAAATTCCGTCATGAAAAGGGTAAACGCAGACCTATGGCTTTGCTATACAGTTTGCTACCGCTCCGCAAGTTTCTAAAATCAAGGTGTTTTCAAAAGATTTGCTGTGAGACTGAGTGTTGTGAATGAACCTTTGATATCGTCGTATGTACACTTTGCCAATGCATGAGGAATAGTGAAAGCAAGATGGTTCAAGGTTGAAATACGACCATGCACATTAATATTCATATGGTATGAATATTATTCATACTGGTATTTTCTTTGAGTGTTCGTAATAGTAAAATTTAAATATTCAACTACACGAAGAATGTTGAAACACAATAGAATATCAGTCACTTAGTATTCATAATGTTTCTCTTATACATGTTACATTGACATACACTATACATGCGCTTTCAGAAACTTTAAGTTTGTTTTCAAATGTCTAAAGTCTTATTACTAAATTTACCGGTATTTTCAAAGTCAAAGGCCGGCACAACTTGTTGAAACACTTATATATATATATTTAAATTGTTTACATTGCTACAAAATATTTTAAAACTAAAATGGGAGGAAAAAAACCTCAATCCCCTACTGAGAATTGATCTCAAACTATATTATCGCCAAGAGTCCACTCTACCACTTGACCACACAAGATCTTCCCTAACAAGCATATCTTAAAACCAGGCCAATGGTACATTTTTTCCGCGGTGTACCAAGGCCAAAGCCCACGCTTTCACTAGGTACACTGCCGCGGTTTACACTGGCCAAAGCCGATGGTTTCGCTAGGTACACCGCCGCGGTGTACGCATCCACTTCGTCTTTATAAAGGAAAAAAATGAACAAATAAAATGTTACTTTATTTAGTGTAGACTCTTATGTCTTAAGTAATTAATCAGGTAATAGTTGTAAGCAATCTTGCAAGATAGGCTACTATTAAAAAAAATTCATTTGCATGCAGGCCCTATTCAAAATTTATCAAGAACTATACTATGAATTCTATTTTAATTTAGTTTAGTCAGTTTACCTTATTATCATTCATTTTTGTTAGGGTACCACCATTTTTCTCTCTATAATCATCATTATGGCAAGGGCAAGGAGTAGGATTATGATTATGTTCCTCCTCCTGTAGCTGAGAAGCTTCATAATCATGATGTTCTGTTAAGCCTACATCAACTACTACATGATGATATAGTGGTAACTTAACCAGTTCATCATAATTTAGGTTAAGTACGGAGTCTTGAGCTGCGTGAGGTACGAATTTGTTCCAGTGCTGTTCCAAAATAAATTCTGCTCCATGAGTGTTGGCAAGACCAACATAGCTTTCTAAAAACTCCCAAATCTGTTTTATAGCAAAACAACACCGCTCACGTTTCGCCTTTTTAGTATCAAACTCAACAGTTTTCAACTTAAAGGTTTGCCTCTGCCAACTGTTGGCTTCATTTGTCACATTCAAATTCATTATAATTAGGCTATTGTTAGCCTATATAAAATTATAGTTCGAGTTGCTTAATATTTATTATTTTTTTCAAATTAGTGTTCTAAGTGGTTAGCCTTGGCCTTGGGGCGCCTGGTAATCCCTTATTTTACGACGGCTTAGTAGTCGTGTAGAGTTTATGATGCTAACTACTATCTTTACTTTGGAGAGAATTCAACATTTTGTAAAGCTAACATGCCCTAATCCGAATAATTTTTAAATGTTGGAAATCTCAGAAAATTTCTTCTAGGTGTGATGCTCAAACATATTTCCATTTTTTTATTTGTTTTACTCTAAATTATTTGTTTACAGTAGATTAAATAAGGTCACTCCAATTGCCGCCATTAAATATATGCAATTTTTAAAAAAAATTGGATTATTTAAATCATGCATTAGATTTACGAGTCTTTAAAATAAGTTGATGATTCATAAGGTTTTAGACTGTAGTAGAGAGGAACGTCTAATATTTTTCATAATTTTTTCTTTAAAAGTATTAGTCATTTTTCATATAATTATATTTAAAATGTTCTTTAGCTAATTCAGTCATTAAACTCAGTTGTCCAGTTACCGTACATAATCATTCATCTCCAAGACATATCTTAACAAATAATTTTGCGTAACTAATGCGCGCCACTGTAGTGCTTTGCGTAGGAGGCAATCAAGTAGTGCAGAATGCTAAGACCGGTAACTTACCTTCATACAGAAAAGGGCTAAGTTGAGTATCATTCAATAATTTTTTTAAAGGTCTTAACTTTAATAAGTTCCCATGACAATACATTTGTGAAAATAATAATCTGTAGTTTTTATCGAATGCCTTCTCTTTTTAATTACATGGGCTTTGGGCTAGGGAGTGCTCATTTGCACACAAATTTTTTTTTTTTTAATACTGTGCTAGTACAAATGCTTTTATAGCGTATAAATAAATATTATAAATAGTATAATTTTGGGTCGGAAAAATGTATGGATAGTTATCATCAAAGTGGTAATAGTATTGTCAAAAGAGTGAAACGTCCCAATTAAATGAGTTGAAATATTGCCACCCCTGTGTATGAGCCACTTCTCCTAGCTCACTCTGACTGTTTTAGTAAAAGAAAGCAAAATTGCCATAACTTTAACGAGAAAGGTGTAGGCCTACTGACTTGTCTTTAGGCTTAGTGAAGGGATAGGGGCCGTCCATAAAGTGCGAAACACTATTTTTGACCATTTTACCCAACCCCCCTCTCCCTCTGTCACAAATCTCGCCCCCCCCCACCCCCCGCCGCACCCAAAGTACGTCATGCTATCGAACAATTTTTTTAAAAATTAACACCTAATTAAAATTTAATCTAAAACACACTTCACTATTAAACTGTATTAAAATATAAAATTTCCACTTTAAAGAACTACCACATTATTAAAATGACTTTAATAGTAAAATAGTTAATTGTCAACAGTTATTCATTGAAGCAGTAACTCAATCTAGATTGAATTTGAAAACGAAAATTGCAAAAATTGGACTAGACAATTATATAATACACATCATTTATCTGCTGCTTTTTCATTTACAATAGGTGAGGTCAAGCTTTAGATAATCTTCCGATTATGATATTTTTTTTACACAGGATAAGAAGTAGATTAGCGAAGCTTGACCTCACCCAGTGATTAAATAATAAAAAGGACAGTGACATAATTATGCAGCGGACAACATAGAAATAATAATACTTCTTGCCAGTGGCGTAGCTAGGGTCGGTGTCACCCGGTGCGGTAAACTCATGGTGTCACCCCCCTCCCTTGACTTCCAAGATGGATTTGTTATTGTTAAAATAGGTCCACAGTATAACAATGACAAGAACAAAAACAAATTAATTAAAGGTCAGGAGGTAAATTTATTTTAGAAGAGTGATCAATACATTAATTATGGGCCCTCAAAATATAGAAAAAGAACAAGTAACAACGTTACGTTATAGTTATTTTTACATTAAATTTACTTTAATAAAAAGTTTCCTTTCTTTGTCTTCAAAGTTGCAAATCTGTCAATTACTTGATCAAATTCAATATCCTGCACCGTGTGACATTCAACTGATATGTAGAGCCAGATCAGATAGCCTTGTTGGATCGTGACTAGGTCTTGATAAGCATACGTTTTGAAAAGCTCAGCTCACATGAAACCACAGACACACAGATCGTAAGACAATTGATGGCTTAGCGAGAGTATTGGACGAGATTCTAGGAAGTCCCATTCAGCTATGAATTTCAAAACATCAAATACTGACCAGTCTTTGAATTTGTGAAATTAAATGTCTGTCTGCTGCCTTTAGTGTCTTCTAAGCCTAGGTATTTCTTTTAAAAGTTCATCCTCTGACAACCCATCATAGAAAGAGGTTACTTTTGGAATGGACACCAATAACTCTTCTTCACTTGCTGATAGTAGAATCTTGTGTTAAACAGCCCCAAATATATCTACTGCTTGATCACTGCTGATTTGATCTAGAGTTCAGAATGAAAGCGAGCAATGCAAGCACCCACGTCTCACTTCTCTTTTCTTCTAGCAGAGAGAGTCCATCATCTAATAATTTTTCTCCTTTCATTCTCTTCTTAAATATAAGTGTTCTTTCTACCGAAATTCCATATGAGTCTGATTTTAAAAGTACATTTTCAAGAGCATGCTCCACAAAGTGAAAGGGGTTCTCGTGCAGAAACAATCTTAAAGCCTCTGTGTTGGTCACCACCTTGTCAAGAGTAAAACCTTTAGTCTGCAGATACTTATGTTTAATATTAACTTTCTCAAGTAGATCATCCCAAAAGTAAAGGTAGCAGATAAACGTGAAATCACAAACAGCATGTAAAAGATATTGTGCTGTATAACAATGGTGCTCTAATGTTAAGAGGTGGTGCTAGTGACGAATCAACGAAAATATGTTTGAGCATTTCTGGGTTTCGATAAATTTGGTCTCAAAAACATTTTAAAAAATTTTAAAAACGTTTTGTAAAATATTATTTTGTTGACCCTAAAAATTGGTAAAATTAATTTTTAATGTTTTTAAATTTTACAGATTCGATTCATTCAGTTGGAATTGTCAGACCTCATCATATTTGGTTTCAGTGGAAAGCTTTATTTCTCAGAATTTATATAAATATTGCTTTCTGTCATTTATGGAAGGTACCGAACACTTCAATCGGCGTTGAATAATGGTCAAAACGGTGTTTCTGAAGCATTCTTAGGATTAGTCACACGTTTGGAAATTTACATGTGAACGGTTATCCGTTTATGCAATGCCGTTTGACCGACCGGTGTGTGCACTATAAATATGCAATTTTTCAATTTGGTGTCACCCCCGGGAAAGTGTCACCCATTGTGGTCCGCACCCCCTAGCCACGTCACTGGTTAACCCAATAATTGTATAACAAGTCATTTTAAACACTGTTTTTCTGACCTAATTATAGGGTCATCTCATTTTGGACGCATCAACCTATAAACAAGCACGCTTTGGGATTGGTTTCATGTGTCGAAGATTTCTGTGTGATTGGTTATCTTTTGGTGAAAATCGGTTGGCCCGAGCAGTGTGTGCTATGAAAATATACAATTTTTTCAGTTGGGTGTCACCCCTTGTGCGGGTGACACCCGGTGCGGTCCACACTCCCCGCACCCCCTAGCTACGCCACTGCTTCTGGCATGACGAAAGCAAGGTTATACTATACATAAAACAAGGCTTCGCAACAGCATACTAGCACTCTTAGCTAGAGGAATCGTGAACAACACATTCAGGAGATACGCATTTCATGCTATTTTGACATAAAACTAAGTCAAATGTTTCACAAAATTTTTGAAAATTATTTTTAAAGCTATTAAATTCTACTAAAAATAAAAAATAAAAAATAAACTGGAAATACAATTTTTAAAAATAAATGTGTGACGTCACACATGGCCTGGATCCCCCACCCCCCCCCCTCCACAAACTGTCACACTTTCTTACACCCCCTCCCTCCCTCTGGAGCGTGACATATTTTATGGACGGCCCTATAATGGTTTTTCTCATTACCCCTACAGGTGCATGATGGCCTAGTGCATGGTGACCTAGAGCATGATGACATAAAGCTGGGTGTCATCAGATGATGATGCCAGAGTCATTTAAACAAGAAGAACTATTTCTGATGCTTATCAATCTATCTAAAAATTATAATTGTTTGTTTTTCAGCTGTAGCAATTTTGATTTAACCTCTCCTTTCTTCAGTAAAATTAAATTGTTGAATAGAAGAAAAGAAACAAATTCATTATTCATAGAGCACAAGTTGTGTATTTTAAAATTTTCATGTAATAATAAGTTGAGCATGAAATACGAACACAAGATATGTTTGAGAAGAGCCGTCCACATAAATATTACATTAAAAAATCAAAGCTTTCAGTATTTATCTATGCGGATTGTTGGATCAGTTGTGGACTATTGCAACTATTTCAGGAGGGATGGAATGTGATGGCTAGTCAAGTCAAGCAACTATTTCAGGAGGGATGGAATGTGATGGCTAGTCAAGTCAAGCAACTATTTCAGGAGGGATGGAATGCGATGGCTAGTCAAGTCAAGCAACTATTTCAGGCGGGATGGAATGTGATGGCTAGACAAGTCAAGCAACTATTTCAGGAGGGATGGAATGTGATGGCTAGACAAGTCAAGCAACTATTTCAGGAGGGATGGAATGTGATGGCTAGTCAAGTCAAGCAACTATTTCAGGAGGGATGGAATGTGATGGCTAGACAAGTCAAGCAACTATTTCAGGAGGGATGGAATGTGATGGCTAGACAAGTCAAGCAACTATTTCAGGAGGGATGGAATGTGATGGCTAGTCAAGTCAAGCAACTATTTCAGGAGGGATGGAATGCGATGGCTAGTCAAGTCAAGCAACTATTTCAGGAGGGATGGAATGTGATGGCTAGTCAAGTCAAGCAACTATTTCAGGAGGGATGGAATGTGATGGCTAGACAAGTCAAGCAACTATTTCAGGAGGGATGGAATGTGATGGCTAGTCAAGTCAAGCAACTATTTCAGGAGGGATGGAAGGTGATGGCTAGTCAAGTCAAGCAACTATTTCAGGCGGGATGGAATGTGATAGCTAGACAAGTCAAGCAACTATTTCAGGAGGGATGGAATGTGATGGATAGACAAGTCAAGCAACTATTTCAGGCGGGATGGAATGTGATGGCTAGACAAGTCAAGCAACTATTTCAGGAGGGATGGAATATGATGGCTAGACAAGTCAAGCAACTATTTCAGGCGGGATGGAATGTGATGGCTAGTCAAGTCAAGCAACTATTTCAGGAGGGATGGAATGCGATGGCTAGTCAAGTCAA